GGTGTTCGGAAGGAAGAGCTGGGTGTAAGCAGATTTAGCTGTTTGATAGGACAGTACGAACAGGGGGTGTTTGGTTGGAAGAGCTGGGTGTAAGCAGATTTAGCTGTTTGATAGGACAGTAAGAACAGAGGGTGTTTGGATGGAAGAGCTGTCTGTAAGCAGATTTAGCTGGGTGATAGGACAGTAAGAACAGAGGGTGTTCGGAAGGAAGAGCTGGGTGTAAGCAGATTTAGCTGTTTGATAGGACAGTAAGAACAGAGGGTGTTCGGAAGGAAGAGCTGGGTGTAAGCAGATTTAGCTGTTTGATAGGACAGTAAGAGCAGAGGGTGTTTGGATGGAAGAGCTTGGTGTAAGCAGATTTAGCTGTTTGATAGGACAGTAAGAGCAGAGGGTGTTCGGAAGGAAGAGCTGGGTGTAAGCAGATTTAGCTGTTTGATAGGACAGTAAGAGCAGAGGGTGTTCGGAAGGAAGAGCTGGGTGTAAGCAGATTTAGCTGTTTGATAGGACAGTAAGAGCAGAGGGTGTTTGGATTGGAGAGCTGGACGGAAACGGATTTATTTGGGATGTGAGGAGATGACTGAGAAAATGTTTTGAGTAAAATGAGTTAGTGAGAGAGAGAAGATTTAGTTGCCGTTGGGAAGACCGGTAGCGGCAGAGGGTATTCCGAGTGGACGAGCTTGTTGGGAAAGGATTTCGCCGTTTTAACCAAAATAACGTGTTTCATATTATGCGTTCCCACCATTCCTCATTTCTTTAACTTTTGAAATAAACTTTTGCATTTTATTACAGGATGTCGACCCAGACTCCGAACTGGCTCTTGCATTGGAAAGTATGTTGATCCACTATGACGGGAAACCACACAGGGTAAGAATGCTTTAAAAGACCCCTAGTATAGGGCGCTTCATATCTCCAGAATCAAATATGGACAGCCTCTCCCTGAATCTACCTTCACCATTACATCCACGATCTTTTTTTTTTTTTTTTTTTTAATTTTTTTTTACTTTCTGATAATTTTATTCAAATATCATATATTTCAATTTTTCGACGTATTCAGTTTTTGGTCTGGAGAGATTCCAGCATATGTAGGTTATGACTTAACCATTTATCATTGTGACATACAAATTAAGGTAATGTTGTACTCCTGTTACAGGCGGAAGGTGCTGAATATCTGGAGAAGCACAGAAGCAGCCTACTGGGACAAAACAGGGACTTCCACAAACTCACACACAGACAAAGTGTCGAACTAGGTCTGGAATCTGAGCTGGTAAGTCTAAACTATATTGGCATGTATTTTCAGATTTAAGAAAAATCTGAAATTGTGATTTACACACGCACGCAAATCCTTTCTATATTCCACCTGTTGAGTTTATAAATTCATGCCCGAAACGATGTGTGATATGTTTTTCTTTAGACAGTAAATTAGACAATTGGTCAATGGAGATTGAACTTTATAGTCATAAAAAGGAAGAAGGTCCACATCCACATTCTCCAGTCCGACTGTACACCCGAACTCGACCGTCACTGTAACGTTCTCCAGTCCAACTGTACACCCGAACACGACCGTCACTGTGACGTTCTCCAGTCCGACTGTACACCCTTACACGACCGTCACTGTAACGTTCTCAAGTCCGACTGTACACCAGAACACGACCGTCACTGTAACGTTCTCCAGTCCGACTGTACACCAGAACACGACCGTCACTGTAACGTTCTCCAGTCCGACTGTACACCAGAACACGACCGTCACTGTAACGTTCTCCAGTCCGACTGTACACCAGAACACGACCGTCACTGTAACGTTCTCCAGTCCGACTGTACACCAGAACACGACCGTCACTGTAACGTTCTCCAGTCAGACTGTACACCAGAACACGACCGTCACTGTAACGTTTTCCAGTCCAACTGTACACCCGAACAAGACCGTCACTGTGACGTTCTCCAGTCCGACTGTACACCCTTACACGACCGTCACTGTAACTTTCTCCAGTCCGACTGTACACCAGAACACGACCGTCACTGTAACGTTCTCCAGTCCGACTGTACACCAGAACACGACCGTCACTGTAACGTTCTCCAGTCCGACTGTACACCAGAACACGACCGTCACAGTAACGTTCTCCAGTCCGACTGTACACCCTTACACGACCGTCACTGTAACGTTCTCCAGTCCGACTGTACACCAGAACACGACCGTCACTGTAACGTTCTCCAGTCCGACTGTACACCCTTACACGACCGTCACTGTAACGTTCTCCAGTCCGACTGTACACCAGAACACGACCGTCACTGTAACGTTTTCCAGTCCGACTGTACACCAGAACACGACCGTCACTGTAACGTTCTCCAGTCCGACTGTACACCAGAACACGACCGTCACTGTAACGTTCTCCAGTTACATGTTATTTTTTGACAAATAATGAATTAAACTGTATCACCCTTCTATAACTCGTCAGTGATGCTACATCATACAGCTATGTCACCCTTCTATGTCTCGTTAGTGATGCTACATCATACAGCTATATCACCGTTCTATGTCTCGTTAGTGATGCTACATCATACGGCTATATCACCCTTCTATGTCTCGTTAGTGATGCTACATCATACAGCTGTATCACCCTTCTATAACTCGTCAGTGATGCTACATCATACAGCTGTTTTGCCCTTCTATAACTCGTCAGTAATGCTACATCATACAACTGCATCACCCTTCTATAACTCGTTATTGATGCTAGGGACCTAAATTGCGAGGCCTAGGGTGACTTCATACTTGTCAAAAGCTGGATTGGGAGGGAAGGGAGATAGTCAAAGTAAAAAAACACATTCCGTATTGAGAATTCCTTATTTGGGGACCACCTACTCATGTTATATGAAACAAACTTCTCAGTTCATTTCTGAGTAGAAGGACGCTGTACCTTAAATATAGAGGTAAAGTAGAAATTCGGTCTGAATTTAATTTTACAATTCTTTTGTTCAATTGTAGCAAGATACTGAAGGCAGAATGGATAACTTCATATTTAGTCCTTTATGGGAACAGGCGATCGTCCCCTATGAGTTATCGACCTCATTCAGTAAGTACCTGTGTAACCTCGCTACCATACTGCGAATGATTTCAGTTTTGGAGTATTCATATCTAGATATTTTCAAGAACTGCGAAAAAAAAATCGTTGAAAATATTATTTATGGTATAACTTAGAAAAAATCAGTCTGATCACTTCTGTGAAGCCATTCATGCTTTTGGTTCTAACTTTTGCTGAAACCGCGAAATTTTTAATACGATCAAGAAAAAAGCAGTATCTTAAGAAATAGAGAGCAGAAAAACGCTAAACGTGAGGAAGGATAAAAAAACAACTTGTCACAGGACCAGCTTTATGTAACCATTTCTCGTTTGCCTCGTATCGGCTAACATCAAGATAAAGAAAACAGGACAAAAACACTGTGATTTACACATTAAGATAGCAATGTGCGGTTCAAAAGGAAAGTATTCCCTCTTCTGCAAAATGAGTAGAATTCATTTTATCCGTGTAGAAATGAACTCAAAAATACATTTGGTGCATTAATTACTGAACGGAAATTACACAACTTTTGCTTATATTTTTGGTGTTTTATTTATACCATACTACGTTAAGTAGAATAGCACATGTCGGTGCCGTGGTCACAAACCATTGTAGATGTTTGAAAATACATGAATTGTGTCGGTGTTTCCTTGAAGTTAATATGAGTTTAGCTCACCTGGCCCTGAAAGGGCCCCTATTAGGGGTGATGGAGCAAATTGTTTAAAACTACTTCTCTTGTAGGAATGATTAAAAAAGTGTGCCCAATTTTGATCTGAAGCATTGCGGAGTAAGGGTGAAGCAATTGTGTATAATTGGTTGGTCTCGTCCCCCTTGGGCCTGAAGGCGGGGCCCTGTAGGGGTAATCAAGCAAATCCTTCAAAATCCTACTACTTTTGTAGAAATGTTTGTGTTTTGGCGAAATTTGTTCTGAAACATTGTTGAATGAAAAGGTATCAATTCTCTATAAACGGTGGGTCCAGGCACCCTTGGGCCTGAGAGGCGAGGCCCAATAACAGAAAAAGACAAAATTATTTAAAATCCTACTCCTCCAGTAGGAATGATCGGATTTTGCCCAAAATTGGCCTGAAGCATTTTTTGTGTGAAGAGGAATCAATCTTGTACAAATTGCATGTCTTAGTACCATGGGGCCTGAGGACGGGGCCCAATATGGGATATAGAGCAAATTCTTCAAGATTCTACTCCCCCTGTAAAAATGATTGGATTTTTACCAAAAATGATCTCAAGCATTGTTAGATGACTGAGAAGCAATTTTTGTATATATGGTAGGTATCGATCCCTGGGGCATTAGGGATTGGGCCCCATAGGGGGGATGGGGTCCCATAGGGGTGATGGGGCAAATTCTTAAAAATCATACTTCTCCTATAGCAATGATTGGATTTTGCCCAAATGTAGTCTGAAGTATTATTTGGTAAAGGAGAATCATTTGTGTATAAAACAGTGGATTTCAGCCCCCTGTGGTGGAAGGGATGGGGCCCAAGTGGGGACATAGAGCAAATTCCTTAAACACTTATTTCACCATCAGAAATCCTTAGATATGGCACAAAGTTTGTGTAAGGATTGGTTCTCAGTTCTCGGGGAGCCTTTAAGTTTAAAGTTAAACTTTAAGTTCTTTAAAAACTTACACTTTCTAAGGAGAATAAATGGATATTGTCCAAATTAGGTCTGAGGTATTCTTGGGTGAAGAAGACTGAGTTCTGTATAAACAGTGCATCCCAGCCCCCAATGCGGGAAGGGAGGGCTAAATTGGGGGAATGTAAGTTTTGACCACAAGCAGAGTGACTCATTATGGTAATTATATAAAAAATAAATTGCATGTCATATTTGAAATTCTTTATTAAATGACTGAATATCTAAATTAGCTTATTGGTTATTTTGTGTATAACAGCTACGTCTCAAAGAAACACGATCCTGGGAGCGATTCAGGAAATGGCGACTAAGACATGCGTACAGTGGCTTCCTAGATCGGCAGCGCTAGCCACCCAACTCGGCCATCAGTCTTATGTGTACATCTTTAGTGACAGGTGAATTGACAGAGGTGACGTCATAGTTACCGGTAGTGACACACTAAGTTAATTATACAAATCTTTATCGAGCATAAGATCAAATTATGTATTTAAGTTAAAGCCTCTATCTGAGTATCACACAGGCTACAAATGTATGTTCTGTTTATCATATTGCTATCTAGTTACTGCTCTATCTGCTTACCTCAGTGGCTGTTATTCCTATGTTGGACGAGTGTTCCAAGGCAGACAAGATCTCAGTCTACAAGCTCCATATTGTGTAACGGTGAGTTCATATATGTTGGCTTGTACTCTATAGCTACATGATCACGTGCCCCAGGTGTTGTACTTACTCTTTCTATATATATCTAAATGATCACGTGCCCAGGTTTTGTACCTCACTCTCTCTATATACATCTACATAATCACGTGCCCAGGTGTTGTTATGCACTCTCTCTATATACATCAACATGATCACGTGCCCCAGGTGTTGTACTTACTCTTTCTATATATATCTAAATGATCACGTGCCCAGGTTTTGTACCTCACTCTCTCTATATACATCTACATAATCACGTGCCCAAGTGTTGTTATGCACTCTCTATATATACATATACATGATCACGTGTCCAGGTGTTGTCATTCACTCTCTCTATATAAATCTACATGATCACGTGCCCAGGTGTTGTTATGCACATTCTCTTTGTATATATCTACATGAGATGTGTGTGTGTTTATTTGCCATACAGAACAGTATTACATTACACGAGATGTTACACGCGATGGGTGGACAACACGAGCAGAGCAGGACGGATCGTGATAATTACGTGGAAATCTTGTGGGCGAACGTGAACGGTGGTCAGGGAAACATTAACATGCAGAAGATGACGACGGACGATGTAAAACCGTACGATGTGGCATCAGTCATGCAGTATTCTCTTTATGTAAGTGGATCAGGGAACTCAGCAGACAACATGATTTCTGAGAGAGAGAGAGAGAGAGAGAGAGAGAGAGAGAGAGAGAGAGAGAGAGAGAGAGAGAGAGAGAGAGAGAGAGAGAGAGAGGAGATATATCAAAGAGAGAGAGAGAGAGAGAGATAGAGAGAGAGGAGGAGGGGGAGAGAGGGGAGGGGAGGGGAGGGAGAGAGAGAGAGGGAGGGAGAGAGAGATAGAGATTGAGGAGTAGGGGAAAGAGAGAGGGGGAAGAGAGAGAGAGATAGATAGATAGCGAGAGAGAGAGGAGATTCAATCAGAAGTTTGACTTATATGTAAATATAAACAAGACAACAAAACAATTACATATAAAACTGATGGAATGACGGATATATATTTATATTTTCAGGCATTCTCGATCAACGGCCAACCGACAATACGCCTGTTGGACCCGCGACTAAATTTTCTGGCTGACTCCGCTTCAGTTCTCAGCTTTTATGACGTACAGGATGTTACTGATTCTTACTCGTGCACATGTACGTCATTTCCTGTCTCTATTGTTTTCATTGCGATCGCCTTTTGTCCGGCGTCGTCCGTCGTACGTCGTAAACAATTTACATTTTCAGCTTCTTCTCTAGTTCTGCCTGTGACATTGAGCTGCAACTTACCTGAAATGATTGTGACATGGTCCTGATCAAAGTTTGCTAATTTCGGGTTGGTCCGAAATCCAAGATGGCCACCATGACCCTTGATTGCCCTTGGTTCTTAAATCCAAGTGAAATAAGTTGAAAATTTGAAATCTTGTATTTTATGTCAGATGACCGTTAAGGCCCATGGGCCTCTTGTTATTATTTTTGTTTTGTATTTATTGTTATTATTTTTTTATTTCTTTATTCATTTCCAATTTGATTTGATTTTTTGGTGACGTTTTGTGTCCTTTACAGCCAGTTGCGTGAATTCCCCAACATGTCAACATAAGGGTTTCCTTGATCATACCTGTCAATGTGTTTGTCCAAGGGATGTAACCGGCGCTAACTGTGAAACTATAATCACAGATCCAGGTAAACTACATACAAACTGACCTTAACTACATATAAATAGTAACAGTGTTTATATAACATTGACTTTAACAACATATAGATAGTTACAGTGTTTATATAACATTGACCTTAACTACATATAGATAGTTACAGTGTTTATATAACATTGACCTTGACAGCCTATAAATAGTAACAGTGTTTATATAACATTGACCTTAACTACATATAGATAGTTACAGTGTTTATATAACACTGACCTTGACAGCCTATAAATAGTAACAGTGTTTATATAACATTGACCTTAACTACATATAGATAGTTACAGTGTTTATATAACACTGACCTTGACAGCCTATAAATAGTAACAGTGTTTATATAACATTGACCTTAACTACATATAGATAGTTACAGTGTTTATATAACATTGACCTTGACAGCCTATAAATAGTAACAGTGTTTATATAACATTGACCTTAACTACATATAGATAGTTACAGTGTTTATATAACACTGACCTGACAACATATAGATAGTTACAGTGTTTATATAACATTGACTTTAACAACATATAGATAGTTACAGTGTTTATATAATATTGACCTTGACAGCATATAGATAGTTAGTGTTTATATAACATTGACCTTGACAACATATAGATAGTTACAGTGTTTATATAACACTGACCTTGACAACATATAGATAGTTACAGTAATTGTATAACAGTTACCTTGACAACATATAAATAGTTAGAGTAATTGTAAAACAGTAACCTTGACAACATATAAATAGTTACAGTGTTTATATAACATCTATCACTATTAAGTACTTATTGAGATAGTGTTTTCGGGTTATTTGTTTGACAGGATGTGGTGGAGATATCACGTTGGTCGCCGGAGTTCCGCAGACAATTTTGTCCCCAAACTACCCAAGCAACTACGTGTCGGGCCAGAAGTGTACCTGGTATTTAACGGTAAACTCCCTTACGTATTAACTCCATATCACCCTGGTAACTACGTGTCGGGACAGAAGTGTAACTAATATATAATGGTTATCTCCCTTACATATAAACTTCATATCACCATGGTAACTACGTGTCGGACAGAAAGTGTAACTAATATATAATGGTTATGTCCCTTACATATAAACTCCATATCACCCTGGTAACTACGTGTCGGACAGAAAGTGTAACTAATATATAATGATTATCTCCCTTACGTATAAACTTCATATCACCCTGGTAACTACGTGTCGGACAGAAAGTGTAACTAAGATATAACGGTTATCTCCCTTACGTATAAACTTCATATCATCCTGGTAACTACGTGTCGGACAGAAAGTGTAACTAAGATATAACGGTTATCTCCCTTACATATTAACTCCATATCACCCTAGTAACTACGTGTCGGGCCATAAGTGTAACTAATATATAATTATTATCTCCCTTACGTATAAACTTCATTCATATCACCCTGGTAACTACGGGTCGGGCCATAAGTGTAACTAATATATAACTGTTATCTCCCTTACGTATAAACTTCATATCACCCTGGTAACTACGTGTTGGACAGAAAGTGTACATGGTAATCAATATATATTTGAGGGAAGGATATGCCGAGTGATTTGACGCACCCACACACTCAACACACCAATACACCAACAAATCAACACATTAACACACCACCAAACAAACACATCAACCCACCAATACACCAACACATCAACACACAAACACACCAACACACCAACACACCAACACATCAACGCACCAACACATCCACACACCCACACATCATCACACCAACACACCAACACATCAACACACCAACACATCAACACACCCACACATTAACACAACAACACACCAACACATCAACACACCCACACACTCAACACACCAACACATCAACACACCAACACACCAACACACAAACACACCAACACACCGACACATCAACGCACCCACACATCAACACACCCACACATCAACACATCTACACATCCACACACCAACACATCAACACACCCACACATCCACACAACAACACACCAACACATCTACACACCCACACATCCACACAACAACACACCAACACATCTACACACCCACACACCAACACATCAACACATCAACACACCCACACATCAACATATCAACACACCAACACATCAACACACCGACAAACCAACATATCAACACACCACCACATCAACACACTCACATATCAACACACCAACACATCAACACACTCACACATCAACACACCAACACAACAACACACCAACACAACAACACACAACACAACAACACACCAACACATCAACACACCCACATATTAACACAACAACACACCAACACATCAACACACCCACACACTCAACACACCAACACATCAACACACCAACACATCAACACACCAACACATCAACACACCAACACATCAACACACCAACACACAAACACACCAACACACCAACACATCAATGCACCCACACATCAACACACCCACACATCAACACATCTACACATCCACACACCAACACATCAACACACCCACACATCCACACAACACACCAACACATCTACACACCCACACATCCACACAACAACACACCAACACATCTACACACCCACACACCAACACATCAACACATCAACACACCCACACATCAACATATCAACACACCACCACATCAACACACTCACATATCAACACACCAACACATCAACACACTCACACATCAACACACCAACACAACACACCAACACAACAACACACAACACAACAACACACCAACACATCAACACACCAACACATCAACACACTCACACATCAACACACCAACACAACACACTAACACATCAACACATCCACACTTCAACACACCAACACATCAACACACTCACACATCAACACACCAACACAACACACTAACACATCAACACATCCACACTTCGACACATCAACACATCATCACACTCACACATCAACACACCAACACATCAACACACCAACACATCAACACACCAACACACCAACACATCAACACATCCACACACTCAACACACCAACACATCAACACACCAACACATCAACACACAAACACACCAACACACCAACACATCAAGACATCAACACATCCACACTTCAACACATCAACACATCATCATACTCATACATCAACACAGCAACACACCAATACACCAAAACACCAACACACTCACACACCAACACATCAACACACCAACACACCCACACATCCACACACCAACACATCAACACACTCACACACCAACACACCAACACACCAACACATCAACACACCAACACATCAAAACACCAACACACTCACACACCAACACATCAACACACCAACACACCAACACACCCACACATAGACACACCAACACATCCACACACTCTGGCACCAACACATCAACACAGTAACACACCAACACAGCAACACATCAACACATCAACACACCAACACACCAACACATCCACACACTCACACACCAACACACCAACACATCAACACACCCACACACTCAAAACACCAACACATCAACACACCAACACATCAACACACCAACACATCAACACACCAACACACAAACACACCAAACACACCAACACATCAACGCACCCACACATCAACACACCCACACATCAACACATCCACACATCCACACACCAACACACCAACACATCTACACACCCACACATCCACACAACAACACACCAACACATCTACACACCCACACACCCACACCAACACACCCACACATCAACACACCAACACACCCACACAACCACACACCAACACATCAACACACTCACACACAAACACACCAACACAACAGCAACACACCCACACAACCACACAACACACCAACACATCAACACACCAACACAACACACAAACACATCAACACACCAACACACACAACAACACATCAACACAAAAACACACCAACACACCAACACATCAACACACAACACAACACACACAACACACAACACACCAACACATCAACACACCAACACAACACACCACACATCAACACACAACACACACACACACACACACAACAACACAACACACAACACACAACACACAACACACACCAACACATCAACACACCAACACACCAACACACACCACACACCAACACACCAACACACACACACACACAACACACACCACACAACACACACACATCACACACAACACACAACACATCAACACACCAACACATCAACATATCAACACACCAACACCTCAACACACCTACAAACCAACACATCAACACACCAACACACAACACCACACACCAACACACACATCACACACCAACACATCAACACACATCAACACACAACACACAACACACCAACACACACTCAACACACAACACATCACACACAACACACACACAACACATCAACACACAACACACAACACACCACACACCAACACACCACACACACATCAACACACACACATCAACACACCAACACATCAACACACCCACACATCAACACACAACACATCAACACATCATCACACACCCACACATCAACACAACACACACAACACATCACACACCAACACACATCAACACACACCAACACACCAACACACCAACACACACACCAACACACATCAACACACACAACACACCAACACACAACACAACACACACACATCAACACACAACACATCAACACACACACACACACACACATCAACACATCAACACACCAACACATCAACACACCATCACACATCAACACAACACACACACACAACACATCAACACACACACAACACACACACACCAACACACAACACACACCACACATCAACACACCAACACACAACACACCAACACAACAACACACAACACACAACACACCACACACACATCAACACACCAACACATCAACACACAAACACACCAACACACCAACACATCAAGACATCAACACAGCCACACTTCAACACATCAACACATCAACACACACACATCAACACACATCACACACACATCACACACACACACACACATCAACACACACACATCAACACACCAACACACACACACACACACACCACAACACACACACCAACACGCCAACACATCAACACACCAACACAACACAAACACACACACACCAACATCAACACACCAACACACAACACATCAACACACCAACACACAACACATCAACACATCAACACACCACACATCAACACACACACACACACACACAACACATCAACACACACACACACAACACATCAACACACATCAACACACCAACACACCAACACACCAACACACACATCACATCAACACACACTCACACACCCACAAACACATCAACACAGCAACACACCAACACATCAACACATCAACACATCAACACACCAACACATCAGCACACCCACAAATCAACACATCAACACACCAACACATCAGCACACCCACAAATCAACACATCAACACACCAACACATCAGCACACCCACAAATCAACACATCAACACATCAACACATCAACACATAACACACAACACATCAACACACACATCAACACACAACACACCAACACACCAACACACCACACACACATCAACACAACACCAACACATCAACACATCAACACACCACACACACACACATACAACACATCACACACAACACAACACACCAACACACACACACAACACACCAACACACCAACACATCAACACACCCACACATCAACACACCAACACACCCACACACCCACACATCCACACACCAACACATCAACACACTCACACACCAACACACCCACACATCAACACACCAACACATCAACACATCAGCACATCAACACATCAACACATCAGCACATCAGCACACCCACAAATCAACACATCAACACATCAACACATCAGCACATCAACACATCAACACATCAGCACATCAGCACA